TGTGGTATATACAATAACGTACAACTCAGGGCCCCGTCTTACAAAGAGTTACGATTGATTGAAATCAATCGCAAGTCCTCTAAAACAATCGCAATTTGCAGTCTTATATCTCTAATGTACATAGTTGCGATTAATATAAATCGTTAATAAGTTGCAATCGATATCAACTCTTTGTAAGACCCCGGCTCAGGTTTTTAACAATTTTAGATATTTTAGCTCTATTTGCTAATTTGTTATTAAGTGAATTGAGAAATAAAATCTCGGAGGTATGGAAAACATAAAAATTACAATAAAAAAAACATTACATTTTTTTTTGTAGGAATACATGATTTTAAGCTACACATCCAATTGGACCTATGGATTTTAAACAAAAATACCCAAATGTACACATTCTATTTGGGCATATCTTGTATGCTATAAATGCAAAATCTGTATTTAACAAGACCAAGAGTAATGTCTAGAATTGACTTTTCCAAATACAGATCAGCATTTACGAGTAGGTTTGAAGCTTGTATTGTTATATTAAGGCTTTCTAATGGAAGTAGAAATCAGAGCAATTTACTTACGAATAGTAGGACAACATATTCATCCTGCCATTCATCTCTTTCTTCAGAAACTCGAATGAACTATGAGGAATGTACAAGGACGAACCTAGTTCGAATGCCGAAGAATGTTTGGAAATGAGAGGGGATTTTCAGTACCGATGGAATGACCTAATTTGTTACTGGCCAGGTCAGACTCTTTGTCAATTGGTGAGACAATGTGAAATGTACTTTTTGAATTTCTTTTAGAGGGTCATGGGCTTGTACAAAAATACAAACTGACTATGTTAGACGCTTCTTTGAACAGATGGGAGGAATTATAGCTGAGGTGATTTGACAATATTTGAGCATCAAAATATTGTGCATTGTTTAAAGATTATGATATATCATGTATATTTGCTACTGTTTTTCTTCACGTGAATGAAGGTATGGATGGAATAAATTGATAAATTAATTATCAGAATGGATGTTTCAGTAATATTTTGTCTTATATATTTTCCAGGAATTCCTGCCTGCGGTGACCCAGGTGAACCTCATGGTAATCGTTTACCAGACGATAGAACAACTTACTCTGTCAATGCTACTCTTCATTTCCACTGTCGGAGGGCTATACATTATCTGGAGAAAGTGTTTTAAGGTGTATGAATAATGGAGCATGGAATCATCAAAGACCATCGTGTGAAGGTAAAGTGATTGTTATGTTAATGAATACAAAATAACAGTTGATCTTATTTACCCACAGAGTAGCCCCCATCAACATTAAACTGCTTTAGATCTTCCTCATGCTCCTGTAGGCCCTCGACTTATCATGACCCCAGCAATTTCCAGTGCCTATTTAACCTGGCTGATACTGACAAATGTGGATGTATGTCTTGCCAAAGGACATTTATGCCGGGTTGAGAACACTCACGAATGAAATGAGAGTCAAGTGAATTAATTACAATTCCGTATTTTTGTTTTCCCAAGACGAATGTGAGGTCCGATTTAACGTCTTCAGATGATATTCAGTATTTCATAAATATTCTTTATGTAGTCATGCTTCAAAAAAGGGGTTTAAATGCTGCGTAATGACAACATCACACTTCAGATATGCGGTTGTTTAATCCGTGTATACTGAAATTAATTAGCTTTCTACAATTTTACCGTCAATAACATTGTTATTCATGAAGGATTACAATAAGGTACTCTCATTTTAGAGCTAATGATAATTTTTTTTTTTGGTTAAATGTACCAACCCTAGGTTTGGATGTCAAGAGAAAAAATAGCATCCCTTCGTGTACTGTGAACAATGGCATTATATTTATCAAGTCTTTCCTGTTTTTCCTGAATAGCTGTCGAGTGTGAGGGAAGCCCACCAGAGGTCGCCCTTGCATCCACCACGATACTAGGATCAGCGTATCAAGATATAGCTCTATACACCTGTCAAGATAGTTATATTCCTGACAATGAACCAATCAGCTTCTGCCAGCATACAGGCAATTGGAGTTCATCTTACTTTACATGTACAAGTAAGATGATATTTATTTATTTATTTGATGTTATATTCATTTATTCTTTGAATTTATACAGGGTAGTCTATTCAGAACATATAAACTGATTTGTGACAGAGCCCCGTGTGTAAGGCAGGTAGATTGGTTTGTTGATTTATTTTACATGACTGTTAGGATAGCATACGTTTGCTTTTAAGAACGGAACCAGGCGAACGACGGCTTTAAGCCCTCTCTGTGAGACTTGACTAATAATAATATAATAATAATACTAATAGAAATAATAAGTGACATTTTTGACGCGCCTAATACTTTGATTTTAGATGCAAACTAATGCAACATTGTTGTAAGACTTTGAAACAAAATGAAGCCTGGAGGCTACTGATTAGAGTTGTCAATGTCCCCTCTTGTTTTTGATATTTCTTGCAAATCTGTTTTCTATTCCCAGCACGCAGCCCGTGTAACAGTAACCCCTGTGTTAATGGAGGAACCTGCACCGTGAACGGATCTCGTTCACATGTACATGTCCTTCAAGCTACACTGGTCCAACGTGTGATGAAGGTAAGATATAATAAATGTATATATATTATTATTAACCGTATCAGACATCTGAGCAGGGCAATTTTTTAATGTTATTGCCCTCAAGGTTTGATGGATAAGTCAACAAAATTACAATAGTTAGTCCGCTCAGAAAAGTCAATAGGATTGTGTGTGTAATTTGCCGGTCAATATGGTTATACAATAAACCAATGAACAAATATTTTAGCCCGCTCAGAAAAGTCAATGCAAAATGCGTGTTAAACTAGTAAGCATAATATAGAGCCAGTTGTAATTTACATCGCGCATCAGCTACTGTAATTTACATCACGTTGTTCATCGATAAATATTTTATTGAAAGACCAAATACACTGAAATGGGTCAGCTTTTTAACTCCAATAATGTACAAACACTTTTAAACTTAGTAAAATGCTGTCGTAAAATAATGCTTCGTTTTCATTAATTTAAGTATTTGCTAAAAACATGTTATGAGTTCAATATTAACTTTATGTTTCTCTTTTTGGTCTTATATCATTTATTAAATTGATATCAAGAATATTTTCAGTAATTCATTAATTCAGATATCAATTTACTGGTAATTTTCTTTTCCAATTGCTTCCATTAATTTCGTCATTAATTATCGTTTTAATTAATATTATCGTTTTGTTTTTGATTATTATTATTATTATCATCATCAATATTGGTATTATCATTATCATCATCCCCCCCCCCCCCCCACAATCAAGAATTGTGCGGAGCTAACATCGATCTGCAAAACTTTAAATTTTCGGGACAAAAAACTAGTTGCAAAAAAAGTGCCCCCCACCCCCCCCCCCCCCCCCCCCCCGCCGCTTATACAGCGGTTGGCTGAGTCGTTGCGAAATTGTTCATCAAATCCTGGACCAAAAAAAATACAAAAAATGTGCTCTTACCCCTTCATTTGTTTGGCGCGATTTTCAAATTTTAAACCCCCCCCCCCCCCCTTCGAAAAAAATCCTGCGTACGCGCCTGCTTGTGGTACATCACATTTGATACATGTATATCTACTTTCTGATGATGACTCTTTGTATTCCACATACTGCAATCTGTCGCTAAGGTAGCTTTTGAGCCGTTTCATTGCATGTCCTCGGATGCATAACAAAATCCATGATAAGACTTTGTTGACTGATCCTGTGCTACGTAATAACTTTTGTCTTCCCAGAGTTCAGCCCGTGTAACAGCAACCCCTGTATAAATGGAGGTACTTGCTTAGACATAAATGCATCGTCATTCAACAGTACATGTACACCAGGCTACATTGGTTCGACGTGCAATGAAGGTAAGGCATTGATTGATTGATTGATTGATTGGTTTGCCACAACAATAACAACATGTGTGCAAAATGTGTCGTAACAAAACCGAATGAAAACACACATTTGCATACTTGAATTGTGGTCTTATTTCTCCCAGGAAAGCCATATCAGGATTAACAGGCCTACTATTTTGTCTGCATGCCCTAAAATCCCCCATACCCAGCTATTTGCAGGGGCCCATTTACTCCGGGTGGAAGGAAGCATTGTGGTTTAACGTCTTGCAAAAATGACGTTAGTGCTGTGTAGGGATTCGAACCCTCAAATCTGGGATTGAGAGTCAAGTGGGACCAGAATACAACTCATGTGTTAATTCATATTTTGTACAGGGGTCAGGCCTGACAGAGATTTATATAACGCCGGTTCCACCAAAAGCTAGTTGCGACCATGCACTGCATTTATTATCATTCTTTGTAATCTTTTGTAATTCATTTGTAACCTTGGTACGGGAGCCGACATTCGTGTGCCATACTTTTTAGAGCCTCTGCATGTTGAATTGATATGAGTGGTATTTCAAGATTAAATTGAAGGGCGTGCACCGACTCCACCCTATGCTGACTAAACCACTGTACTTGGCTCATAATGATTATCAATTTTAATTTTTCTTCCAGGGCTTTTCTTGCAACAATACAATCACCCGAACTACATTTTACTTTACTAGCATCATGCACTTGGCATCAAGCAGTTGCCCTTCTATATTTTCTCAGCTTTCTTTACCATGTTATCTTTAATTTGCCACACTAGCCCACATGCTAATTAGGGACTTTTTTTATGTTAAACCTATAAGTTAAACGTGGTTTGTCAGTCTTTCAGAGATAAGGCTTACGACAAAATTCACTTTTACAACGCAAGCTTCTCCGCAAATCACAGAATCATAAACATTGTATCAATGGTTCCTGCAGTGGAAGTCGCTCTAGCAGCGTGTCTAGCTTAGAAATCAAAAGTTTCATGTCGCTAATGCTTTTGGTTTAACGATACTTCTTTATTATTATTTAATGATCTTGGTTTCTATTATTTATCACTTTTGATTATGTAATTCCAATGTCCTCGTTTTCATCATAGAAAGTCCAAACGGAAAATCGTCACCTTCTGGAGGTGAGTAACCTCGCGATTATTAGAGAACTAGCATCTTCATTATGTCTATCCGTATTATCCATGCGACAATGGTAAACCTAAAATGCAGTTCTTTGAACGAAAAATTGCTTCAAAAGGAATTTTGAGAAAATCATAAATACAACATTTATACGTGAAGCAATTCATTATAATCCAATAAGTGCATCCTTTGGCCGCCAGTGAAGACAATATTTGATTTTAAAGGAAACTCTGTACCGAAGATATATATAACAATTCGATGCTTAAAACATAACAATGTGAAATAGTTATTACAAATTTAATCGTTCATAAAATGTGCAGTGAATCTGTACATAGAGGCCACTCAACACAATGGAGACGATCAGAAATTCAGTCTTAATTAGGAATTTCGTCCTTCTAGAGACGGGTTGCTATAGTACAGGTATTAATAGGAAATAATTTCTATTGGAACTGAATATGGCTACGTCATGTAGAGAGGTTTAGGTATATATAAGTTCATGACGCAGACCTCACTGTAACACAAGAGATCGCTGCACCACCTAAATTTATCAGATATTGTTAGTCAGTTATAACTGTGAAGCTGTAAAATAAGAAGAGACTATGCCTTAGGAGCCAATTCAGTACCCCCTCCAACCTCTATATATCTTAATAAATTCACTTCTAACTCTGCTCGTAGGCTATTAACCATTATGTAATCTTTCTGAAATAAATTCATTTTATTCTTCTTTAAAGCTATCGCAGCTGGAAGCTCAGTGGCCGTTCTTTTCATCTTAGTGGTAATCGTTTTAGCCGTCATCCTATTCAGACGGTATATATTTCTTTACATTTATTTCCATTTATTTGCTTTTAATTATTACTTCGCCTTCGTGCCACTTGTTTAACATTTGCCCCGAACTCACCACCATTATATTTTCTACTCTTTAGGGGCCTGATTAATTTTGGCGATCCCCGTAGGACCTAAAATAGATTGACCCTCATATCCAGAATTATCGAATATGTATAAAATGTACCTCTAACGCTAATGCTATTTAGCAAACACACGCTCTTTCAATGAAATGATTATCAAGATTCCATGCTTCGGCGTGCACTTTTTCTTCTTTTGAGATTCTTCCATGAAATCAAGTCTACGCTCTATATCCAAGACTTTTGAGCATGTGAAGCTCTACCTTTGAACCAGTTGTCATATATTTAACGAATTATTCCCAACTCCTTTGACATTATCCATCGTTCTACTGGACCATACCCCCTTCCCTGTAACCAAGAGTAATTAAAACGCAACATATAATCAGTTGCATTTCTATGGTACGTATGTATAACTGTGAGATTTCATTAATGCACTCTATAAACAAAAATGTTAAATCAAAAATTAAAAGTTTGGAGAAGCAAGGTACATCATTATAATTAACACTTATAACACGATTAATCGAACACAGTGTAAAGGTTGGGTCAAGCATGTTTAAAGTGTTAATCTACCATTTAAACAAACAATTGTATTCCTATAAAAGGGCGCTTTTGAAAGATAATTTAATTAACCTAAAACAATTTACATGTCATGTTGACATATTCCTATATACCTTTCTATTGAGACTTGATCATTTGTATAATCATGTATTTCATTAATGCAATTTGTCTATGCTTTCATAACATCCTTTCAGTAATAATCAGCAACTTCTAAGTCTGAAGGGAAGGAGTCCGATTCGTCTCCGCAGTATGAGAACCCTGTATTTGATCAGTCACAGACAGACGCCCATACATACCAAGACCTGAATACCAACCCCCATACCTACCAAGATATTAATACTGATGCTCAGAGTCGTGGTAATCCTACCGGCCCTCATACCTACCAAGATCTTCAGAAACCTGATCAAGAAGCTCACTACGAAGAATTGAATGACGCCATAAAGAGAAATTATATCAACGTGCCAAGCATTTAAACAGTGCTATGATAAAACATTAAATGCATTCTTAATGATTAAGATTTGAATGTATGAGAAGAAAAAAGATCCAAGTCCATCACAATATACTTAAGACATCCAACAAAAACAAACTTTGAGGGACAGAAAGTTTTCAATCCTTATTCATTACATAATATATGTCCCATGTATCAATTATTCCGTGAAGATGAAACCTTGTTTTAAAACTTATCGTAAAATATTAAAGTTTATCTTAATAACTGGAAAAAACGATGTTGGTGGTCTTGGGCGCTTTCTCTCATGTATCCAATTAGAATACCAGGACGGAAATTTATCAAAAACCAACATGTGTTCCTTTCATTATACTTCGCCTTCTTCAAGTTCTTCGTTTTCATCTACCATGTCTACTCGTGTTAATCCCAAATATCTTGATATCTTTAACTAATTAATACTCAGTAATATTAATCGTAATATTCGGGAAACTTTTTCTAACAAGGCCATCGTGGACTTTTCCTTTGTTCTCTTATTTCATTTGAAGTTATTGTATAAACTGAACATTCTCTGTCTTTGTATGTATATATACTTGTATGTTTGTTTGTTTTTGCTGTATTTTTTATGAAATGAAATGAATAAACGAACAAACGAACGAAATGTGGGTAAATAAATTGAAGACCATTAGGTCCCATCAAAACGTGAAAGTCAGGGTATGAGATTAGTTTCTTTAAATGGATTCATATATACTGATCTTCCGTCATTGAAGCACCGTCATTTTTTTTTAATAATGTGATTGATGTATAAAAAAAAACTCTTACATCATGGAGCAACAAAACATTTTTTTTTTCTTCGAAAATTGTATTTATTTGTCTATCTGCAGAGGTATCTGATGAAACCGATTTTAGAAATATAAGATATGTTGGAATGATTCGATGCAGGTACAAATACATAGGACAATTTATTTAGTCATGTATATACACGTATGCCATAATGTACGAAAGCATATTCCTTTTGAGATATCGGTAAGAAAACTATTATATCTACTGTATCGATTGCTAGTGTTATTGCCTGTTATTGTTAGTAGAAGGCATTTTTTTCACATGTGAGGACAAGACTTAAGAAACTATCACATATTTGTATTATTATGATTATTATTGTTATTATCACTACTATTATTGTTATTACTATTACTACTACTACTACTATTACTACTTCTAGTGGAATTCAACCTGAGTCAAGTTGATTAATAAGTTGTTTTGATGTAATCAATGAATGTAAAAGGCATAGACTGTAATGTAGTAGAGGTGTCGTGGTCAAGTGGATACGTCACCGGACTGTCAATCACAAAATCCGCAGTTCGAATCCCACCGCGGCACTAATGTCCTTTAACAAGACATTAATCTACATTTGCCCCACTCGATCAAGGTGATGTAAATAGGTACATGGCAGGAATTAATACCTTGAAATGCTAAAGCGCCGCAATGGCAGCACAGCTAAAGCCGTGTAATAATTTCCAAATTTGTTTAGGCGTCTTGAGCATCACTTGGGGTGGATATTACTCTTTTCACACTGGTTTTGTTTAACCCCGTACTTTGCTTAGCCCCTTACTATCCTTAACCCCGCACTATTTTTTGTGGCTTTTCACACACGCTGTTTTTTAGTAATTTGCCAGTGTGAAAACAGTATATTATGTGCGCATTGTAAATGTTGTTGATAAGATGTTTTGATGTTAACAATGAATTATTAAAAAAAATGTTGTTATTATTATTATACACAGTGACACACGTGAAAGCATTGTGTAATGTAAGGGTGGATGTTTAGGTAAAAATGTAAATACATGTATTAGAATCAAAAGCTAATAAGTAGAATTAGATAATGCAATTTAAGTCAACGTTAATATATTATTATATGAGCGGTGGATGTTTGAGCATATAATGAATGTGAATAGTGATTATAGAACACACTTTTATGTAAACATCAAGGAATAAAAACAATAAAAATACAAAAAGGAAAAATTTAATTATTTTGGTTTTGTGTAACTCGTAAATTTGCTCTTTGAACGTTTTTTTAAACCAAAATAATTCGTGTGATTGTTTAAGCAGTTTAAAATGTGGCAGACAGCGCTTACTAACAGTATCAAGTCAGATTACTGTACGGTTAAATAATTGATACATGCAAATTATAATACATTAATCGGAAACAAGATTATTGTACCGATTCTAGGACAATTAAAGCCTTAACACTCGTCCCCGGCCAATGACCAGCGGGACAACTACTCCCTCTGAAAACTACCCCAGAGGACAATTGCCTCCTGGTAAATTAGCCACCTAGGATACCCCTCCCCCGTGAACAGTCCCCCCCCCCCCCCCCAAGGAAATATTCCCCCTCCCCCTGAAAATTATACCACTTGATAATCACCTCTCCCCCCCCCCCGAAAAAAAAAAGTTCTGCCTATATCAAAACCAACTTATTTTTAGGGTGGACTTCCTCTTTAATGAACAAAGGGTAATTTTCGGGCGGGGGGGGGGGGGTAAATGTTGTTGGGGTAGATGTCATTGTTTGTCCTCGGGATGGACATTGTCCTAGTGGTATTTGTTCATTGGGGGTGGGGGTAATTGTCCTAGGGGTATTTTTCGGGGATAATGCCCCCGGGGATGGTTGTCCTTGGGCCCGGCCGGGAAGGGGATTTCAGCCCCGTCCCTCCCTATGCACATATTAAACACAAATAGCCTACATGTTATTCTGCTCGACGAGATCTCATCGGCTCTGACTACATTGGACTGCATCTGCGCAGTCTCTATGACGGATCAACATCTACCACTGATTATCCATAATCAAGTTATGAACTGAACTTTAAAAGTTTGAGATGTGCTCTAATGAAATAATTTACGGTAAATTTCTGATTTTATTTCTGAAAATATTGTCGTCGACGATTTAGATTAGTCAGAGTTCATTCAATCAGTTAATATTCTTTGATCAGACAAATGAAACGGGGCTGGGATATCGATAGGAGGTAATGACAATGCAGAGAGCATCTAATTGCCACGATGAACACATGACAATCATTTCAGAGATCTTCGCACAAAATGTATATTTACTTAGATTTCTTGCTCCGATATGTTATCGCTTCGATGTTGATGTTCGTCTGAAGATTTCCTGCTCCACTGAGATTTACTTGACAAACTTCTATTAAAATAGAAATTCACTTAACAAAAATGTTCATGGTTTGTAATTGAAAGTTGCACAGTTTATACAACCGCCATTTTTCAGATATATGTGGACATATCTTAGGCATTGTGGAACTGAAAAAAAAAATGTTATGCATGATCTAATACATAGAACATTCTTTTAATAGCCAGTCACCAAAAGAATTGGCGAATGTTTGACGTCATTGTTCATAAATAAACATTGCTCTCCAAAATCGTCGTTCAAATTGGACGAAACTCCCATAACGAATCAAATGCAAAACTTATGGATGTAAAAGGTCACAATTTTAAACAAAAGATTCGTTCATAGTATAGCCTTCGAATTGGCAATTCAGAACGTAGATAGCTGTCGTGAGCGATAACAAATCTAATCCATCCCTTGAAATTTAAATTGCACTGCCCCTATTAAGTGCTCTTTTTAAAGAGCACTTAAAAGCGTTTATATTAGGCATTCCATCGCATTCATTAGTAGAACAGGCCCTTAATACTGGAAACCAAATTCAATGATGCCCGCAGTATTGAATTTGAAACGCAATGTTGGACAGAAATGGTAAAAGAACTACGTGGATAAAAAGGATTAACCTTTCACTGAATATATAGGGACTCTTGCTATATGAATACCTTTCTTCGCTCCAGTGATCTCTAGGCAGCAGACACCAAGAAAGTGTGAAATAATGTTTTTTTTTTAGTCCACATGAGTGGTTTTTAGAAGCTTAAACTACATAAAGTTCACACTGTCTCCAATTTTAAACGACAAAGGGTTGTCTTGGGAACCACCTTTAATTTGTTACGGTTGGGGTGCAGGGCAGAGCCTTTACCGGGAGTCTAGGGACGGAGGAAGTTCTTGTTTTGTTTTAATTTGGAAAATCCAAAATAGTTGTCAAGAGGATAGATTTTGTAATTTCCTTTTTGAGAGTCACATAGCCCTTTCATTTCATTTTAGAAATAACCTCTCTTTCTCTCTTGTATTAAACACAATTGTATATAATTTTTTTTTCTTCGTATTGTTGTACTTTCGTCCGTAGACTTCATAGCCAACTAATCGGAAATGTAATCTGTAAGTGTAATTTAAGTTTCACATTTTTACTTTTTTCCCCCTTTCTTTCTGTCTCTGTGTCTCTCTCATTTTCCTCCACCCTCTATCTTCTTCTCCGCTTTTACATTGTTTTCTCTTTCTTTTCTCATTTTACCTTCCATCGTTCACTTTTTTTCCAATTTCCGTTTTATTCGGCCGCCAAAAAGGAGGGCCGCAGCTGATTCGCCCCCCCCCCCCCCTCCCCGATCAGCCAGTGATTTATACGCTGACTGATGACAGGCAATATGCATAACTTGCGCTGGGATCTTTAATATACGCAGGGGCGTCGCTAGACATTTTTCAGTGGGGGGATCAAGGCCATCTATTACCGACAAAACTAGCCACCGATCACCGACAAATATATTAATGCCAATGTCCCAATGTTTAGAAATTTAACCC